ATGAGGCATCACAGCTGAGCTCATAAGGTAATCGCCAATCAGGGACCATAAGTATGGGATTAGAGCTTATGAGAGCGATTAGCTTCTGGTAAGCTTCTTCGCATTCACTACTCCAAACAAACTCAACGTCTTTTTGTTTAAGTCGGTCTAATGGACGTACGAGCTCAGCATACTTTGGGATGAAAGATCTAAAGTGACCAGTCAAACCAGTGAAGCATCTGAGTGTATGGAGATCTGAAGGCTTTCGCATCTTCTTAACTCTCTCGACAGACTCTTCTCTTGTTGTCTTAGTTTTCCCATCGATAACTCTTCCTAGGAATGTTACTGAGGGAGCTCCAAAGAGACATTTATTCTCGTTGACTTGTATGCCATAATTTTCGAATTTTTGTAAGACTTTGGCCGTGAGCTCACCACATTCTTCTGATGAGTAAGCACCAATACAGATGTCATCAACATAAACGGCAACTCTACCGAGCTCAATGAGATCACCAAGTATTTTTGTCATTTCTCGCTGAAATATTGGTGGAGAATTCTTCCAGCCAAATGGAAGTCTAGTGAGCTCATAGTGCCCGAACGGCAAAACAAAAGCAGTCCTATGCCTTGTTTCAGGAATCAAACCAATTTGCCAGAAACCATCACGAAGATCAATTTTAGTAAAAGAGGTGCATCCACCAAAGCTATTGATCACATCGTCAATAATTGGAAATGGGAAAGGATCAAGAGTGGTATTCTTGTTGAGCTCTCTATAATCTTGACAAAGTCTGAGGCTACCATTCTCCTTAGGAACTATTACACACGGTGAAGCATATTTAGAGGTTGAGCTCACTACAATTCCTTTGTCCATAAGTTCTTTAATCTTTTCTTTTGCCCAAATATACTTTTCTCGAGACAATCGGTATGGCTTAGCTTGTACCACTGACGAGTTGGGAGCGAGTTCAAAGTCAACAAACACTTTTGATTTGATGTATTCCAAAGAGAAAACTGAAGGGAAATGTTGCTTGGCTGAGATCAAATCGACAACCATCTTGTTGTTTCGATTGATAGTGTAGACTCTATTATCAGCGAAGCTCCAATTGAGCTTGAGCTCACTTAAAGTTTTGATTCCAATGGTGAGCTCATAGTCATTATCAGGCGAGACGTATGCAGTCATATTCACTTTATGATTTTCAACCATCAATTCACATTCGACTAACTGATCATACACTGAAGAAGTTCCATTAAATGCTTTGAGCTCAGTATGGCAAGGGCTTGTAACCAAGTTGTTTTTACCAACACAGTCTCTAGAGATCAAATTGACGTGAGCTCCAGTGTCCAGTAGTGCTGTTGTGGTGTTACCATTGAGAAAAACTCGGAAAGTGTTGAGAGAACCTGAAGCAGTATCTGCACCAATGGAAAATATTCTTTCAACATTATGTTTCGGTTTTTCATGTTTTGAAGTTTTAATAGGAAGTTTGGGCTGTGTGTCTCTTTGTTTAGTCGGTTTTAGTTGAGTTAGAGTTCTTCTGAGCTCTTCTTTGTTAGAGATGTCTGCACTGTTTATCTGCTTCTGCAATTCATCTGGTAGGCCTAAAAGAACCAAAGTAATGAAGTTGAAATCGTTGAGCTCAGGGAAAGCTAGCTGGAGAAGCCTCTGTTTTTCGTAATAATACTCTAACAGTGTACCTCCACGGTATTCCCATGTGAGAGCGGACTGAGCCTGAGTTACTCTGTTTTGACCAAAAGCGTCTAGAAAGGCTTCACGCCATGAGCTCCAGTGAGAAGGAAGGTTCTCAATAAGGCGAGAGTTAAACCATTTCAAAGCTATGCCATCCAAGTAAGATTTTAGATTGTTAACTTTTGCATCGTCTGTCAACCAACCGTTGAACTCCGAAGCTTTTTCGTAGCTGATGATCCATGTTTTGGCATCTTCACTTTTACCATTAAACTTTGTCACTTCCATCTTTTGATTTCTCGGACGAGCCAATGGAGCCATTGTTTCCTGGAAGCTTTGCATCATAGTACGGAAGGATTCCATCTGCATTTGCATCATCTGTTGAAGCATATTAGCCATAATTGACTCTGAGCTCACTGATGTAGACGGTGGAAATGTTGGATTTGTATCACTTACAGATGGATCAGGTTCATTATCTTCATTCAATTCGTCACTAACTGATCCAACACTGAAGAGCTCATTCAAATAGGGCTGAGCCTCTTCTTCATTGAGGAATAGAGTAACAGTTTTTCGTCTAACCATATCTTGAATAACGACGGTAACAGGGTCTTTGTTTGCAATGATATCATGTTTTTCAAGGGCTTGAAGTTGATCTTTAACAAGAGTCCATTCATCATCCTCATTCAAACGATACTTAGTAACCAAGACCGCACCATCTCGTTTCACTAACGTGAATTTAATCTTTTTAATAGACATAGCCATCCTGTCGACTGCGCCAAATATCGTGTTCACAATTTGAAGTATTGGGAATTTTAAGAAAAACTTAAATTGAACACAAAGTGAGTGTGAGCTCACGGTTAAAAATACAAGGGAATTTGAGGTGCATTCGACTGTGAGTGTGAGCTCACGGTTTAAATGTAAAGTAAAACAAAAGTATAATAAGAATTGAAACTTTAATGTTTAGATATCAGGAATTCTAACGAATCTCCCAGATTCAATGGTGAGCTCCCGGTTTTATAGTGAGCTCAAAGGAAAAGGAAATGGGAAAACACATGTTTAGGTTTAAACAAAAGAAAAAGAAAATAGTTTGGTGTGAGCTCACGAGGTGAGCTCAAGATTTAGGGTCACTACAATATTAATATAACATTAAAAGTTACATTGAACGAATTTCTCGATTGTCAGACGACATTAGTAATATTTCTGCACGAATTTGAAATAGTGATGTTGTTAGTTAATGAGCAAATTCTTGGAAATTCAGATCAAACCGATTTTTGCAAAGATCATTTGAAATCGGACAATATGTTTATATGAGAAAGCTTTTTATTGCACTGCATACAGATACAGTTTAAAACAGAAATCACTACAAAATATATTGAAGGTCAATTTAAGCAAGGCTGAGCTTCTCATGTCAAATTTTTTAACGACCAATATATCTAAAAATTAGAAATTTCAGTTTATTCAAGAGAGCCTGTCAATTATTTGTTTCTCAAATCTTTTGCCCTTGTCTCTCAATTGCTCGAGTAACACTTTTGCTTTATCGGAAACGTCAATTTTTTTCAGCTGCAAACATTTCCTTAAAGATTTCAAATCATCAAGATTTTCTTTTGCCAAAGGTTTGGACTCCATAATGGTTTTGCTCAGTTTTTCAACCAAATTTTCGAACTTAACTCTAAGAATTTTACTTTCTTCACAGCGAGGATTGGCCTTCTCTAGATCATCTTGTGATGAAACATAATCAATGAATAAATTGAAAGCAATTAACAAGATTAAAAACTCTTTCAACAGTTGCATTTTAACTTTTTGATGATTTTTAACTTCTTCTTCTCCTTTTCTTCCTTTTCATCATTCTTTGGCTTTTTTGGCTTGCCAGATACATCATCTACCTCTTCTGCTTCATCTTCACCGAAAACCTTTGGTCGCTCCTGATCACCATCATCGTCATCGTCTTCTTCATCATCCTCCTCTTCGTAACCAGCATAACCATCATCGCCAAGATCATTGACCAACCAACCATCTTCCTCTACATATTCATCATTTTGCTTATCGGGATCACCATCTTCATCGTCATCTGGAGCTCGTTTACGTTTAACCTTTTCTCCCTTTGAATTCGATTTGGGTTATTTTGAGCAAAGAGCTTTGAGCAAAAACCTTTTGCGCTAAGACATCAAGAGCAAAACTGA